TAATTTTATTTTCTTTTTTGAATAATCTTATATTCTAATAATAATATAAGGAGATTCCCTTCAAAAACATAAAAATAAATAAACAAGGAGATTTTCACCAAATAAAATAATATTAATACAAGGAGATATATTACCATAAATTATAAGTTGGTATAGGATTATTCTTTTTTTTTTTTTAAAGAAGATTATTCATATATACTTTGATTGTGCCCCAAGCCACGCGGTTTATATCCTAATCCTACCTAAAGTCTACGATAACTCTATCTATATATACTTGTATAGTTTTAAAGCTTTTGTTTGTAATAATAATACACATATTCTCCTTAAATCCAAAAGTTAAATTTGCACTAACACATAACACATTACACATTACACATACATACTCATTGATTACCGAATTCATCATGTCATATGGAGCAAAGCTATGTGATTTAAGACTGTTCCGAGTCCTCCTAAAGGGTAATCATATATCCCCTGAATTACGCTTTACACGCCAAGGAGCGTTCCTCGTGAGCTTCAAACCATCAGACGATGTGGAACCCTCGATTATCTATTTTGATATGTCTGCTCTTTTTGAAGGCGACTATTATAATTTGGCAAAGCAAGTAATACCACCATATATCAACTCTAAATCTAGAGACTTGCTTGCTCACCAGATCTCGGATTACTTTGAGAGTTGTTTCTGTTATTTTAGCATCCGTGCCGCGGATTTTCCCTACAAACTGGTTGTTTTATTGGAACTTTCTATGTTTTATCTTCCCGAGTCCTACGAACAAGTTTACAATCACGATAATAGTCATTATTATGTTAATTATTATGGTGGCGATAGCGATGGCGATGGCGATCCACTGAATATGCATATGGATAACAACATCGCTGAATTAGCCGCCCAAGACAAAGATGACTTCCGCATCCTTGAGGCATTTTATAACGATGCATCTAATATAGGTAGCCCACAATTCGAAGATATCGTACACCAGATTTTTGTCAAGATCAAACCAACAATCGAGTTAATGCAAGAAGGAGAGTTAGTCGAGTGGCTTACAAGTCATAATAGTAATAATACATGTTCAATTTGCTTCGAAAATATCTCGACTAAGATGGAAAACTCAAGGCTTGTTCGTTGCAACCATGTATTTCACACCAATTGCATCATGAAGTGGCTTCCAGACAAACACTCATGCCCCTATTGCCGAGCCTCTACTTCAACCTTTATACAAATTTGATTGGTTTTATGAGATAATTTTTGTAGAGTATTAATGTATTATATATTGAGTTTTATTTGTTGAAATTTGTTTGAATAGATGATTATTATGATTTATGAGATAATTTTGCTAAAGAGTATTATATTGACCATTACTATAATTCCCACCTTTTATCGACACAATGTCCTCAATTCAATGCGTTTACCGTCAATATACGGGTCAGAATTCCCTAATTTGTTGACTTTTTTTTGAGTCGAAGTATGCTATCGACATTAAAAAGTGTCGAGAAAGTCACGTGGGCCATACGTGACTGATTAAAAAAAAAACCTATTACAATTAAGATAATAATAATAATAAAAAATTATATTCCGTTTAGGATAAATATCGGATTCTTTATTTCTATGTGGTAACATATACAAAAAAAAAAAAAAAAAAAAAAAAAAAAAAAAAATCTATTAAGGATAATATCTTATTTATAATTTTTTTTTTGAGAACAATTTTTTTTTAAATTACGATCAAATAATAAAATTAAAATCCTAAAAAATATACCCTAAATAGATATCTCATAATAAAAATTGAAATCCTACTACCGAGCAAAAAAAAAATAAAAACCCTACGATCAAATAATAAAAAGTGAAAATTCTAGTCTTTTGATGGCGCACAAGTGTACAACTCCTTCATTATTCCTATAACAAGAGGCAATTCAGAATTAGCCATTGGAAGACAAGTAAGGTATGTTACATCGTCTCTTTCATATAATCCAGCCCACTATATTCAAGTTATCATCTCAATTTTTGTTGTCACGTTTCTAGTTCAAGTTACAAAAAACTTAAGAGAGGAGATCGGAAAATTGTAATATTAAGAATGAGTATGAATTGCATGATCCATCTTTGTGAAGGTAGGCCACAAAAAGACCACGTGGTTGTCACAATATTTGAGGACATTTGTTAGAGATTTTTTCAAGATTGCCCTTTAAATCTCTACTAACATGTCAATTAGTGTGTAAAAATTGGAGGGATATTATCAATAATTTGAGAAACAATATTATGACTAATTCCTCCTTAGTTCCTCTTTGTGGTCTTTTACTCGAATTCTTCAGTATTCGTAAATCAAGGCGAAGTATAAGCTATATTTGTTTGAAAACCGGGAAGATATGTGAGAAAAAAGGTTGGTTCGATGGATATTTTACGGTTAAAAGTGGTTATGGTAAGGGATTGTTGCCAAATTTATCGTTCAACTTTTTACCAGTTGTACCTCATTATTTCATTACAATGCACAAAGGTCTGTTACTCATTTCAAGCTATCTTACGAGTGCTTGTCGAGTTTATAATCCGGTTACTAAGAAAATGTTCGACGTGCCTCATAGTTTGAGCCATCTTGACTATGGCAGAGAATAGATTTCCTGACCCTCTAGTTACCGAATGCGACTTCATTATTGTTAGTTTTTTTGGTATTTTCAAACACATAGAGGTCTACCGTTCTACAACTATGTCGTGGAAAATATTTAATTTGGTGTTGGATGATGAAATTGTGAACCACACATGTGTTTGGGATAAAAAGAATTATGTTGCCTTAGTTGATGGTTTGGATTCGATTCATTTATATGTACTAACTAACAAGAATTGCGGATTTGCAATAACATTTAGGGGTGAAAGCGAAAATAATAATCTTCATAGTATTAATCAATATACATTCCCCTTACCTCAACTTGTGCACGGGGCGTCCAAGTACACGAGTTTATGGGATTGTGCGGGCACCCTTCACCTCTCCTATTATAGCGCGAATGGACTATTAATTTGGAAGCATAATCTCGATGATTATAGCTCAACAGCACAAGCTAACGCGTGGTCTTGGGTTCCATTGCTACAATCTAGCAATAGCCCTAACTTGATTAAACTATCTCTTGTCGCGGGTCATGTTGTAAGGCCACTAGCTTGCCATCCAGATGTTCCGGTCATGTACATTCTTATTAACCATCGTTCCATCTTTGCCTATGATCTACGCAATGGTGCACTACACAAGATAGCCGAGTCAAATGATCGTCTTGATTATGAGCTAGGTAGTCGACCTATGGCTTGTTTTCCATTTAAGCCGTGTTTGAGCTCTTTCGATGCTGAGTTAAGTACAACCGTTAAACGCAGCAACAAGGCCTACAACAAAATCAAACGTTTGTTATTCAGCATTGCTGATATTCTGTTAACGACTTTAGCGTTATTATTACTATTACCTCTCTTGTTGCCTTTTATACTAATAATACTATTGGCGTATTTTAGTATATGAAATGTGAAATCAATGTCATCGGCTGTGGAGTACGTATAAGGAGCACAATATGATTTATTGAGATTTGAGACGTTTTGTGTGTGGCTAACCAATTTTGATTTATTAGAGTAATCTTATCTATAATTTATTTGTTTGTATTATTGTATAGGTAACTTTATTTATTCATAAGAGTAACCTCATTTTAGCAAATACAAGTGTAGCAAGTGTGACGATCTTGGCTTCCTAGGATGGTTATTTTTCTTTCTATACCTTGTTGTTCTTTCGTTTAAGCTCTGGACACACGTGTCCTAAAGACGAAAAATCATTAGTAATTGATCAGATTTTGCTCGTGTAAATCAGCTAATATAGTGCATTGTTATGTAACCTATACAGGTTTCATGCTTGCTAACATTACGGACAAGTTTGAAGTACTTAGACTTCCATCTTAATTAGCATTTTGGCAAAGAGGGAGGCAGGACAAGAGACGAAAAGCTTAGTTACTTTTGAGCCTAAAATAATGGTTTTGTAGAAGTAACTTATTGAATTATATGTACTTATTCAAACTAATTTAATCTTAAAAATAAAAAAATAAATAAATTTGGTTTGAAATAATCTTATCTTTGTAATTTGGATTAATGCAAAACTTCTTCTTATAGCATTATACTTTGTCTATTCCTTATTGCAATATGGAAGTGTGCATAAACTAAAGCGGTGAGAAAAGGAGATAAAGAGAAGATTACAAAACTTATCTGATTGCTAAAAAGTAACAAACATAAAAAAAATAATAATAATTTTTATATGGTGTATAAAAGGTTTAAAGAATTTTGCAACATAATTTTAAATCTTAAGTCAAAATAGCAACAATTTTTTACCAACATGTGTAAAATGAATAGCTCGGGCAAATATATTAAGGTGTTAATTTAGGTGACTGGATCAAGTTTAGTCGAGTCTAGTTCGAATTTGGGTCATAGGTTATGTTCAGCCCAATTAGAGGATTTGACTAAACCAATTATTTAATGCAAATTTTAAGGTTCACCTAGGTGCACTACGCCTAGGTGATGACATAATAACAATTGAATCAGGGTTCGTTTGGCATTGTTGCGGTTTTTAGTTTTTTGGTTTTTTGTATTTTAAAAGTGTATGACATATGTCATATAATGAATAAAAAATTAGTTAAACTTATTAAAATCATACTAATTTTGAAAACTGACAACAGAAAAGTGAAAACACCTTTTTCTTGTTTCCTGTTTTTGGTTTTTTGTTTTCAAAAAAACTGAAAACTGAAAACAAAAAACAATGTCACACAAGCCCTGAGGTGCTTGGTAAACAACTAATTGGTATGAATCGGCTTATTTTGGAAACGCTCCAAACCCGATTGTCAAATTCCTTTTAGAATATGATTGAGTCAGGTCGATTTTTGACACCACAAATCCACGGGCCACGAGTCAATGACGGGCCACAAAGTATTGGTCTATTGGAGATTTGGAGGAGGCTCCAATCAAGTAGTTCTCGTAGTGTTCGTAATTCACCGCAATAATAGAATAGTAGATCAAGTCATCAAGAGCAAAATTGTTAAAACAAAAAAAATATCTGCTCTTCATCGTCTTCAACCATTTCCACTTGAAACAAAAAGTCTGAGCCTCCAACCCAGAAAAGAGAAAGAGGAGAGAGAAAATATGGAGAAAGGTAAAGGAATCATGGTTGGAGGAAGAAGATGGGCTGTTGAATTCACTGATAATTCTACTGCTCCTTCTTCTCGCGACTTTCCAGATCCTCCTGGTTTCACTCGCGCCTCTCAAGATCAGGTTTTGATTTCGATTTTTTTTTTGTGCTTTTTTAATTCGATTTGATCCTGAATTTGTGAAATTAGGGTTTAATTTGTTGTTTTTCGTTGTATGATTTAGGAAGATTCATCTGTTGCTCGTCAAAAGAAGGATGCTGAAGCTAATTGGAAAGCTCAGGTAAAATTTAATCTCCTTTTCGAAATTAGGGTTTATGTTTTTTTGGTAATGTATTGCTCTAATCGTGGGCTTTATTTAGTTCTGCGGTTACTAATTAGTATAATAATTAGTATAATTTGAATCAATTTTGGGAATGTGCTTGTACTGGTTGTAATCAAATTGCGGCATTCTATTGACTTTTATGTGATCTTCACAATGAATATATTGATTGTATGATTATAGTAAAATTGTAGTGTTCTGTTAGATGTTGAGGTATGATACCGAATAGAGAGTGTATCCGGACAGAATTACGATTGTTTGTAGTGTTGCTAGCTGATTTGAATGTGAGGAGATACAGTTTGGGCTTCGTAGTGTTGGTAGCTTTGAAGTGAGAATCACTTTCAAGCTAATAGTTTTTTTGATTTTGAAGTCAATTGTTCAATTAGGGCCCTGTTTGGTTTGATGTAAAATGTTTTCATAGAAAATGAATTTTCCATTTGTTCCCATTTTCCTTTGTTTGGTTTGTTAAGGAGTGGAAAACAATATTTCAAGGGTGGAAAATTCCATCCTTAATGATGGAAAACATTTTCCTTTTAAAAACAAGGGAAGCCACATTTTCCTCTCTCCTCCTTACCTCTTTTTTTACTTCCCTCTCATTCATCCTTACATTTCCACTCTTATTTTTTATTTTTCTTGGACTTTTCTTGTATGCAACCAAACAAAGGAAAACTAATTTGCAATTGTGTTTTTCCTTGAAAAATATGTTTTCTATGAAAACTAATTTTCCATTGAAAATATTTTACATTAAACCAAACGGGGCCTAGATGTCATCACCTCATACCGGATAGTAGTGTTATGAGACAAGGTTATGGAATCCGTTGTTTGGTAGTAGTAAGAAAAGGTAGGATTTATGGCTAGCGTATAACTAACGTTGCACTCTTTTTCTGTATATAGAAAGCTTGGGAAGTTGCTCAAGGTCCTGTAAAGAATTTGATGATGATGGGATTCATGATGTGGATGTCTGGAAGTACCGTACATTTGTTTAGCATTGGTATTACTTTTTCAGCTCTTTGGCAGCCCATTAGTGCCCTTCGAGATGTTGGAAAAGGTTCAATCATCTACTTAAATGTCTTGTTATTGAGTTTTTTTCATCCTCTATATGACACTTTAGTAGTTATAACATATACGGGGACATTGCATTTTTACTTTCTGCTTCGTAGGTATAATGCAATATAATAGCTTGATGACAATCAAAATTGGTTTTGTTTTTTAGTTTTTGAGCCATACAAGGACAGCAAAGTTGAGCTTTTAGGGCCAAAGTTGGTCTTCCTTGCTCTTAATATGGTGGGACTTGCCCTTGGTATCTGGAAGGTAATTTGAGTAGCTAAGGCATTTTATTGGAAAGGAGATAGCGTTTCTTTTTTTCTATTTTTTTTAACAATGTATATACCTTTTTATTTTCGTACTGGCAGCTGAACACACTGGGTCTTCTCCCAACACATGCTTCAGATTGGGTGTCGTCTTTACCTCCTGCTCAGGTTCTAGCATTGCCTTATATCTTTTTCTGTTTATTATTTGTAATTCTGGTGACATACAATATGAGAAAACCACTGATGATTCTTAGATGTGATGCCTTGATGGATACCTTTGTTCTTGATCTAGTTTTATGATCATGTATGATTTATAACTAAGTGGCCTTGTTATTAAGCTCTTGAAAACCTGCCTAAAGGTCAATATTCTTAGTTTAAGCTTATTTAGATCAGCTCTTTTAGAGTTTATAAGCTTACGGCTTTTGAGCCTGCATAACTCCATGTTTCTATCATAGGAGTTACAGGTTTAGTCTTTTTAGAGTTTGGTGCTTACAACACTTTTATTGCCATGTGGTGTTTTGTTGTAGCCCTTGTAGGTGCTGCAATTGGTGATGGTTAAAAGAAACAGCTTTGTTCTCGTTAATGTATGTTTTAATGAGTAGAATTCATTTGCCTTTGTTTGGGGGAGAAATTTTCTTTCTTTTTTTTGAAGGGGGGGGGGGGGGATAGGGGTAGGGGCCACCTTGAATTCTGCAGTGCCACTGACCCTTCCATCTATGAAAGGAAAAAGAACCTTAACTATGTTGCATTACAAAAATGTCAAGAGCATGTATTTAGCCTTCTCTGTTAACTTTACGTGAGATCACCTTGTTAAGAGCTCTTGACTTCTGCATTATACTGGTGGTTGTTGGGAGATCAAGATGATATAGCTTTGCCCCTCACAATCATAGAGGTGATTTCCATCTTTAGTTCTTGAATGCCAGGATTATACCAGAGGTGATTAAAATGATATTTTTTAATCCCATCCTTATTGGTCACCTTCCCATATGATCCAACTTTTTAAAACATCATCTGGCTTTAATCTTTTAAATCTTAAGCAAAAACGGCTACCATCCCAATTATTGCCACACTCTGGACATCCTAAATGAAAGTATGAAACTTTTATATGGTGATGGAACTAAGTGCTGAGAAGAAATGTGATGTTAGGAAGATGTGATAATGTACATACTCTTAATTAGTTATGTACTCTTCATATGAAATAGTTTCATCTGTGTGCTTAAGGAATGTGATGCTTATACAGGACTCTTTTATTGTAAAGGCTGTGAGAATAGTGAATAACAACATTTATTGGATTTTTTTATTTATGCTATTATATGTGAGGGTGCACTACCAGTCATGTATGCACAAATGCACAGATGAAGTAAAATTTTTGTTGATTTCTGAGGAAGGAATAATTACTGTTAAGCTAGTGGAGAGAAGGAAATTTTAGGCTGTTTTTTCTTGTCTGATTGCCATTTAAGGTAGGTGTATTGATAATGTTGGGGTTTCAATATCTTGCTTGTCACCAGCTAGTCTATTGTACCATCTACATCAATGTTGTACAAGCTTGTCTCTTGGACTTCCAATTTTGATAATAACCTTGACAAATGTTTTGTTGCTACTCTCAGGAAGTTGAGTTTTCCGGTGGTGGATTGCCTCTGTATTAATTGCTTGCTAAATCCTTCATTTGTTGATCCTACAAACTACAAGAATAGCTTGATGGGAACGAGCCTGGTAGAAGATATCAAGGAAGCATAGCTGTTTTGTTGATCTCTTTTGTATGATCAGGTTTATCATTGCACCTCATAATTTAGGACTTCGTATTCTATGTGCAATATGCAAGACAGTTCCTATTTTTGGAGAAATTTTTGGAGACATGGAGGAAGTGCAGGAGATTCAGTATGCAAGACATTTCTTATATTCATAGGTCCCTTATATACAAATCTGTTTTTGCTGTATCAGGGGTCAAGAACCCAAAAGGCATAAACAGTAACTTGTACTCTCTAATTTTAATTAATCTTTCTTTTTCTGCTAGCACTTAGAGTTAAATTTTGTTTTCAATTTGGCTGAGATTTTAACTCAATCCTTTTCTGCGTTCTAGTTGTGCTTGGAACTGACCGACAAAAAATCGTATCTATTGTTGATGATCTTATTAATGTGCTCATGCATAGCTTGACCCACATGTTTTGTCAAGCTCACTTAAATGATATTCGTGTCATGTGGTTAAATTAAGCAGGTTGAACCCATTGTGCATGACCCACCAGCATGTGTTAGGCTTGTGTTGGGATGGTGCCGAATTTGGTCATTTTTGTGTAGTGCTTGATCCACTTTAATGCTAGTTCAATACATATCCAACTTAGTGATGGCATTAGGTTGGATTGGCCATTGCCTAAGCATGACACAACACAAAAAAAAAGTGTGGCATTGAAAGAAATTGTGCATGCTGAGCGTGGGCAACATTTTTGGGAATAAGTTAACCTTGAGGTACGAATGCAAGTACAACACAATAGCACCTAAGTTTGGGTCTTCCATTTGTAAGTTGAATACACCACGTGGCTAGTAGATTAGGAAATGGACTAGACTTAGCCAGATCCAAGAAACACTAACCCGACGAGTGTAACATACCTCCATCTTTAACTTTTTTTTAGGAAGTCCACCCAATTCAATGGATATTGGCTTCGACTATATCCGAATCTGACTTGTGTTGCTCATATGACTTATGGTGGATCAATCTCCCATTAAGAGTTTCTACGTATGTTGATGTTCGAATCCAAGACTTTTCTTAAGTAATTTCAAGTTGTTTACCACTCGGACCAACCTTTGTTAGTGTACAATCTACCTTGATCTTTATTTATGCCTACTAAAGAGGTCGTTGGAAAAATCAAAAGAAAGACATTAATGGCCCCATTGAAAAATACTTTTGACCCAATGTATCAACTTTAATTATCAAGCAAATGAATTATCATACAAAATGTAATTAATACATATACCAATTTCCAATTAATCTCAAAATTACAATTGTAACATAAAAATGTATCCTTCAGCTTCGAGTAGCGTAACAATTAGGCGAATCAAAACGCAAAAAGCCAACTCTTTTATACAAACAAACAACGATTTATATTCACCAACTCAATCTCCTCACATTTTCACACCTTCCAACACAAAAAATTCCAATTTCTCTCTCCTAAAAACCCCATTTTTAATCCGAAGAACATCATCAATGGAGTTCACACTACAACAGCTTAAACAGTACGATGGAACCGACCCATCAAAATCCGTTTATGTCGCAATTAAGGGTCGGGTTTTCGATGTTTCAACCGGCAAGAATTTCTACGGACCAGGTGGGGCCTACGCCATGTTTGCTGGAAAAGATGCTAGTAGAGCTCTTGCTAAGATGAGCAAGAATGAAGACGACGTCGTTTCCAACATTGATGGCCTTTCTGACAAGGAACTTGAGGTTCTTGCTGATTGGGAGAAGAAGTTTGAAGCTAAGTACCCTGTTGTTGGTCGTGTTGTTTGAAAGTTTTAATCTTTGATGAAATAATTATGGAGTTAGTAGTATGATTAATTATGTTGGTCTTATGTTTATGTTATGAAATTTATGGAAGGAATAATTGTCTAATACCATAATTTGTATGTTGGTGTAATTTGATTATCTGGGTTGTTGATGGAATTCTGATGAGAATTGTAATGTTTAATTTGGTTAATAAATACGACTTTTTCTAAAGTTGAATTTCATTCTTTTGTTAAATTTTTATGTTGGATTTTATATGGTTTGATGAATTTAGTGATCTGGGTTGTGAATTGAAAGTTATGTTAATTTGAATTTGGTTTTGATTGATTGGTCAAAAAGCCAGAGTTTCAATTTTGGTATGACTTTTATACAGGGTTTGATGAATGTATTGATGTGGCTAGAATATTGAAAGGTTGAATTGATTTGAATTTGGTTTGATCGAAAGGTTGAATTTCATTGTTTGCATGACGTTGTGCATCAGTGCATGGTTTGATGAATGTAGCGATGTGGGTTGAGAATTTTAATTTAATTAACTTGAATTTGGTTTGATCATAAAGTTGAATACCAATGTGGGTATGACTTTTGTGTATAGTTTGATGAATGCAGTGATCTGGGATCAAAATCAAAAGGTTAAATTAACTTGAATTTGGTTATATCAAAGAGTTGAATTACAATGTTTATATGACTTGTGTATGGTTTGATGTTCATAAAATTTGGGTTGAGAATTGAATGGTTATATTAACTCGAATCTGGTATGATCGACAAGTTGAGCTTCAATGTCTGTAGTAACTTTGTGTATGGTTTGATGGATGTAGTGTGGGTTGAGTATTGAATGATTGAATCAACTTGAATTTTGGTACGATCAAATAGTGAGCTTTAATGTTGGTATGACTTGTCTGTATGGTTTGATGGATGTAGTGATGGGGGATTGAAAGGTAGAATTATCTAGAGTTTTGTATGATCAGTTGGTTGAGACTTGGGAAGTCGGATTTTTAATGTTGGTTTAATCTTATGTATCTGGATTGTTGTGGATACTTTATTAATGATTTGACCTTTTGGAGCTGTGTGTGATTTCTTATGCTGTCTGTATATGGTTTAATGGATGTGCTGTGGATGATAGAATTAACTTGAATTGGGTATAGTTGATTTTGTTGAGAAGTTTAAATGTTGTATATATCTTCAGTTTTTGTCTCTTTGATGGATGTGAAATTCCGGGTTGTATGTGAAATGATTAATATAATGATGTATGCTTTTAAAAGTTAGAATTTTGTTTTCCCTAGTTCTGGTGGTTGTTGAACTTGAATTCAGGATGATTTCATGAAATGTTATGGGTTTTTCCATGTGGTTGTCGATGGATGATTCAAATTTTCTTTGGAATCATGTATATATTTATTGATGAATGACTTTATTGTTAACTTTTTCTGTTGATATTGGGTTTTTAATGTGTTCATTTAGTTTCTGTAAGTAGTTTAGTAAATGGAATTTACTGGATTTCTTACATCTTTATTGATGACTGACTATGTGGCTGTGCTGGATTTAAACTTTGAATGTTACTTAGGGTGTTTTTCCATGACCGTCTTGGTTGTTCAAGTAGTATAGTGATGTGGATTTTTAGATGGAATATTATCTCAAATTTAGGTTGATCATTAGTCATAAATTTGTGCAGGATCAATTGCTTTCTATTCTTTATATTCCATTTGTTAGTTTTTCATGAAACTTAATGTAAATTACAAGTCAGTTTAATTAATAAAGAGAGGGATGCTGTTGGGAATTAGGAATTTAACTACGAACCTTCCAAAATTGTGTTTGTCTTTTTTTTTTGGTAAAGATTTTGTCTTTATGTTGTGAATTTGAGATCACTCATCTATTTTATGATGTATTTGTTTTAGGAGTGTCATTAAGGAGGGGGATGTTTGTGTATGACTTGTACAATTAGTGTGTTATTATTTTCAAATAATGTGTTCTTGGTTGATGCTTATGTAGTTATATAGTTAAGTGCTAATAGTTGAAACTCTGTAAAATTTCAAGCTCATTTGCTTTTTTTTTTCTGCCTCGACAAATAAAGAAAGTACACTTTTTTTGTTTTAAAGCTTAGTTTAGATTATGGATGTTTGATAGTAGTATGAGATGTAGTATTATAAATCATTCTGTTATAAGATATTAAAGTGTAACATTTGATCTTCTACTTAAAGTTTTTCTGGCTAATTCATAGGCATAGTGATTTGACCATGAAATATGGTGATTGATTATATTAGATAATGGGTAATTGTTTCTTTCCTTCTCTGTCAATGTGCCAAATGCAATAAATAGAAAGCTCTTTTGAGGATGTGGGTGGAGAGAGTGTATTGATGACGGTGTGTCAGTTTCTCCTTCCAGTCTTTATCTATGCAGTGGATACAAATCAGACTCCAGTTTTGATACTTGCTACAGGTCTGTAAATCAAATTATTTTCTATAGTCAATACTTCAAAACCACTGCAATACTTTTTTCGGTTGCCAGTTACATACTAATGGTAGTTATTAAAGAGGCTTAAACAATCTTCATTCTGGATACTGGATAGGTGTTGCCTAGGGTTGTATGGTCATGAATTGCTCATTTCAAACAAAAGCCACTCCTACTTTCGAGCAAAGTCCCCTGTTTATATCTGTTTGTATTTTTTTTTTTTTTTTTTTTTTTGACATCATTATATCTGTTTGTAACGTTAAATGCTTTACACTGTTTGGTCTTTTAAAGTCAGTCTCACGGTTTGCCTCAACTCTAATCGTAGATTAATAGGGATTCAGATTTTGACCTCCAGAATCCTTGAGTCTAGAACAACACACTGGATAGCTGATGTGGCTATTGTCATTTCTTGTTGAAGTGTACATATGTTTGTTATGACACTGCAAGGTGCAAGCAATATAAAGATTCTAATTATATTTTGGAACTGGGTTGAGATCATGATTATTTTTAAATCCTTGTTTCATTAAAGTTGGTGATTTGAAGAAAATTTCCTCTGAGTATATGCTAGGTACATTAAAGAAAAGAAGCATTTGAAACTTATTTCTATGGCCAAAAATGCTATTATGGTGTTGTGAATGTTTACCCCTAATTTTCTGGATTACAGTTTTTGTTGCTGTTTTATGCCTATAGAGCTGTATTTTCTTTTTTCTTTTTTTTTTTTTATATATATTAATATATATATATATACTTCTAGAGTTATAGCTTTGTAGGGATTGGTTATATTGGATGCAATTATATTGATGAAATGATTTTATGATGATTTATTTATTACTATAAAGTGGAAATATTTGAAGTAACCAGGCATTATTCGTTCAGCACTTCTGGTTATTCTTCATTTATTTTTTCATGGGAGGTTTTGAAGCAAGATGTGGCGCTCTTCCATTGAAAAGGAATAGGATTGTGGTTTGTCTTAGGGAAGCCTTGGTGCAACGCAAAATTCAATTGCATATCCAATTATCTGAGATGCTGTTGCAGCACAGCTTCTGATGGTGCAGCTCAATTTATCATGTTTTTTTGTTTCATTTGTCTTTCAAACTTCTGGTTTACTCATTCTATTTTGGGTTTTTCACTCTCCCAGTTTGGGTGTTGATTGACTTTGGTTCTGCTGATTT